TTCTAAAAGATCCAAGGTGTTATTGATGCTCTTGATACTTGGATCACACTTTGAATAGTAAGACTTTAATGACATAAAATTTGAAAGAGACCACCATAAATTTCCTATGAATACTTGTACTTTTGTCTTAGTGGGCCTGCTTTTCTGTCTCTGCTGATAGAGCTGGATGGGGTGGCACATGCCTGTAATCTCAGTGGCTTGGGTGGTTGAAGCAGGAGGATCATAAAGTTCAAAGCCAGCCTCAGCAACTTAGTGAGACCCTGACTCAAAGTAAACATTTACAAAGGACTGAGGATGTGACTCAGTGGCTAAGCACTTCTGGGTTCAATCCCCAGTACCAAAAACAACAAGAAAAACCTGCTGACAGAGATCCATTCAGGGTTTTTTTGTTTTGTTTTGTTTTGTTTTAAACCTAACACAATATAGGTATCAGTGCTTTCAGGGTTTGTCTTTTTGTGTGTGTGCCTGTGTGGTGGGGGTAGGAGTGGGTACTGGGGATTGAACCCAGAGGTGCTTTACCACTGAGCTGTATCCCCAGCCATTTTTTATTTTGGAACAGGGTCTTGCTAAATTGCAGTGGCTGATCTTGAACTGAAATTGAAATCCCCCTCTCTCAGCCTCCAGTGTTGAGATTACAGATGTGTACCATGGTGCCCACCAGGGGTTGACATTTTAAACAATTCTAATTGACATGCAATAAATCAAAATATAAAGTGAGCAGGGCATGGTCGTGCATGTCTTTAATCCCAGCTACTCATTAGACTGAGGCAGGAGGATTGAAAGTTTGAGGCCATCCTGAGCAACTTAGTGAGACCCTGTCTCAAAAAAATTAAAAACAAAACAAAACAAAATGGCTGGTAATGTAGCTTTGTGGTAGAGCACTTGTGTACTATGATTCAATTCGCAACACTGCAAAAAAAAAAAAAAGAGTATGCAATAAATTATAACATATGTACACACTTCTGAAACCATTATCAAACATAACATAATGAACAAATCCATCATCCTGAAAATTTCTTCCTGGTTTTTCTGCTCCCTCCTTGCCCATTGGAAACTTAACTGCTTTCTGTCATTATTAGATTAGCTTATCTTTTCTAGAGTTTCATTTAAACAGAATCATACAGTTGTGCTCTTGTTTCTTTTACTCGGCATAATTTCATTCATGTTGTTGTCTCAATGGTTCAATTTTTGTTTATTGCTGGTAGAATTCCATTGTATAGATGTACATTACAATGTGTTTATCCATTCACCTGTTGATACCTGTTTGGATTGCTTCTAGTTTATGGCTATTAAAAATAAAGCTGCTATGAACATGCATGTGCAAGTCATTGTACAGACATATGCTTTCATTTTCTGTTTGGCACATGCCTTAAATGGAGTGACAGGGTCTAAAGGCCAGTGTATGTTTAACTTTTTAAAAAATTATCAAATTGCTTTCCAAGTGTTTATACCATTTTACCTTCTTACTAGAAGTGCATGAACATTCTGATTCTTCTGCATTCTTGCCAACATTTATTTTTTTCATTTTGAGACAGGGTCTTGCTATGTGACATAGGGCCTCACTAAGTTGCTGAGGCTGGCTTTGAACTTGCAATCCTCCTGCCTCAGCCTCCTAAATTGATGGGAATACGGGCATGGGCAGCACCTGGTGATTTTTTTTTTTTTTTGTATAAATGTTCACTGCAAAAAGTTTTAAAGAAATTCATATAGGCAAAACACACACACACACACACACACACACACACACACACACACACACACACGCCATCTGTTAGTCTCCCAGGTAATAATACTCTTCAATTGTCATGTTTGTACATTTCCAAAGTTTGCTCCCCACCAAGAAAACAGTGCTCTTGTTTTTAAAAAAATAGTTTTATTCTCTTTTCATCCTCACTATTTGAAGAATGTCATAAATGAAAATCCAAGAAAAATACAGAGGTTTCCCACATTCAGAAGATTGAGAAACAAAAATTTCTCTGTCTTTCCTATGGCTCTTTGTTTTTGTTTTAAGACAGGGTCTCACTTGGTTGCCCAGATCCACTTTAAACTCCTGGGCTCGGGGCTGGGGATGTGGCTCAAGCGGTAGCTCGCTCGCCTGGCATGCGTGCGGCCCGGGTTCGATCCTCAGCACCACATACCAACAAAGATGTTGTGTCCGCCGAGAACTAAAAAATAAATAAATAAATAAATAAATAAATAAATAAATAAACTCCTGGGCTCAAGTGACCTCAGCCTCCCATATAGCTATGACTATAGGCATGTTCCTTAGTGCCAGTCTTTTATATATATATATTTATTTCTTAGTTGTAGTTGGACACAATACCTTTATTTTATTTATTTTTATGTGGTGCTGAGGATCGAACTCAGGGCCTTGCACATGCTAGGCAAATGCTTTACTGCTGAGCCACAATCCCAGCCCCTGTTTTTTTTTTTTTTTTTTTAATTTAAGGTAGAGAAAGGAAGATCTTCCTTTTTTTTAAGAGAGAGAGAGAGAGAGAGAGAGAGAGAGAGAGAATTTTTTAATATTTATTTTTTAGTTATTGGCCGTCACAACATCTTTGTTTTATGTGGTGCTGAGGATCGAACCCTGGCCGCACGCATGCCAGGCCAGCGCGCTACCGCTTGAGCCACATCCCCAGCCCCTGTTGTTGTTTTTTAATTGACTTTTAAATTGGCTTCCTAAGTGAAATATACCAGAATCTATCTTTAATGAATTTTAAGTTTAGTATTTTTCTGGGACATAGTAAAAAGAAACTGGAGGCAAGAAAACAAACAAAACCGTGTCCTTTTCTATATTCCTAAAGCATTTTTCTAGTGCAATTCAACACTAACATTTTAGTTTTTAAGCATCTTAAATGAGATTTTTAAAGGGTGATGTTGGGAGGGTGGTGTGTTAACTCATAACTTCATACATTACAATTATTCTTGTATTTCAAAAAAAGCTGATAGGAAAACTAGTGAAATAACATTAATAATTATAATTCTTATTAAACATTACAGAACACTACTATATGGTAGGCCACTGTTAAAGGATCTCTCTGTGCATTATCTCATTACCTTAAATCTGTGGAGAGTATTCCACTTTCTCTAGTTTAGACATGACCTTGACAATAGGGATTATTTAAAGTTAAAAAAATAGATAAAAGAAATCCAGAAGTTATTTGTTCTTCTCCTTGGGGAAGCCCAGTGTAATTCCCTTTAAACTGACACTATGGGGATTTCCAAGATATGGGCTACTCTTGGTGTCCATGGTCCACTTCCTCCTTTCAATGTTCTACTCTGTAAAGACTAGTGTGGACTTGGCCTCTGTGTAATGGCATCACCTTATTTATTTTATTTCATTTTAGTTTTTGGTACTGGGAATTGAACCCAGGGGTACTTAACCACTGAGTCACATCCCCATTGTTATTTTTTATTTTCAGACAGGGTATCACCAAGTTGATGAGAGCCTCCCTAAATTGCTGAGGCTGGCCTTGAATTTGATATCCTCCTGCTTCAGCTTCCTGAGTCACTGAGATTACAGGTATGTGACACCACTCCTTGCTCACTTATTCATACTATCTTAGAGTATAGGTTTTCTTAGTTTGCTCATCATTGTTATGCTCTTACTGTYAGGGGTGAACTTTCTTCTTGGACCTAGGGTAGATGCAATTCAAAGTTTCACTAAAATTGCCCAGGCTCTGGTCTTCTAAGTGAAAAAAACATGAATGCCAAGGGAATCTGGACATCCTCTTAGCCTTTATTTTCCCTGTCCATAAAATGAATAGGGATAATTCCATGACCTAAAGTTTATTAATGGATTCACTCATTCAGTTTACAGAATACCTACTATGGCCCAAGCACTGTTGTGTAGGTTGTTAATGCCAAGGTAATGAAATACCTGAAGAGATCTGGAAACTCTCCAGCTCTAAGTAGTTATTACTTTTGCTGTCAGTGGTCATCACCTCAACCCCAACCCCCACCCCTATACACACAAATCAACTGAACAAAGAAAGTTACCTAAACAATAGTGAAGATTCAAGAAGAAAGTTCTCTGCACAGAACTTTCCCAAAACAAACTTTTCCCAGCGGGGTGTGGTGGTTCACCTGTAATCCTATGGATTAGAAACACTGAGGCAGAAGGGTCTCAAATTCAAGGCCAACCTTAGCAATCAGTGAGGCCTTAAGCAATTCAGTGAAATCCTGTCTCAATTTAAAAAATAAAAAGGGCTGGGGCGGCTGGGGATGTGGCTCAAGCGGTAGCGCGCTCGCCTGGCAAGCGTGCRGCCCGGGTTCGATCCTTAGCACCACAAACAAAGATGTTGTGTCCGCCGATAACTAAAAAATAAATTTAGAAAAATTTGAAAAWTTTTTCTTTTAAAAAAGGGCTGGGAATGTGACTCAGTGGTAAAGATCCCCTGGGTTCAATCCCCAATAAAAAAACAAACAAAACCTCTTCCCTAAACCTTTTCAAGAAGCAAGAAAAGTCCCAGATCTGAACAGTTCTCTGGTTCCTGATTTTTTTTTTTTTTTTTTACCCCTTGAGCAGAGAATCCTGAAACTTCCCAATGTATTCCTGGGCTGTAATTATCAACCAAAGTTTGAGTTCTGTTGGTCACTGCTTAGCGCTCTTAATCTTTCTGGACATTATTTTCCAAGAATGAAAACATCAGGTTCTAGGTTTTTCACTGACAGGGGCACAGTTAGCAAATCTTTTAACATCTCTGGAAGGGCCCTGGATAAAGGTACTTCCAGCCAGAATCTAGGATGGGTAGCCTGATACCCCAAACCGAGGCGCGTACCCCAGATCAGAGGTCGTCTATGTACAGTCCAACCTATTGCCATTCTAAACATCACGAGGCTTTATGAGAAAATGAAACTGAAAAGGGGAAAATCCCTCTCTCTAACCTGGCCCGGCGTCGCAAGCTAGGAGACTGGTGACGCGCCCCGCGGGCCGGGTCCTGATTGGCTGTGTGCTCAAGGAATTTAAGTGGACGCGCCCCGCGGGGCTGGCATTTTGCGTTTCACTTTGCTCGAGTCGCAATGTCTCGCTCCGTGGCGGTGGCGGTGGCGGTGGCCTTGCCCATGCTACTCTTTCTGACCGGCCTGGACGCTGACCCGCGTAAGTGTCTCTTCTTAACACCACCCTCTCTGACCCTTTGGCAGTCTCTTAACTCTAACCCCAAGTTCTTCCCTGAGTGGGGACCAGGGCTCGGTCTCTGCGTGAATCGTGGGGTGGCGGGGGATTAGGAAGGGAGTGAAAGCCCAGAACGCCTACTTCTTGCTCCTTTGCTAGAGGATCCAGGGAGACCTCTGGCTGCTGGGACAAGGTGGATCTTGACCGAGTTTGCGGGTTTGGGTACGTTTTAGAGCCCCCCCGAGATGGAGAGGGTTTTCCTCCACACTTCGCTCCTCCTCTGGCTCCCGGAGCGCAACGGTAGGATGGGGCTAATAGGCCAGTCCCAGAGACACGGAGTTGGGGAGCTGTGAATGAGTGGAAACCGGTGTCTGGGGTACGTGGAAGACACAACCCACGGGAAGACAAACCGCAACAACTCTGCTTCCTTCAGACTGGAAGCGCCCCGCTAGGTACACTTTCTTCTTCTCCTGATCCAGTGGCACCAAACCAAGGCGCGCAAACGCTGTTCTCATTATTTGTTGCTTTATTAATAATCCTAAAAGCTACCCGTTATTACAGTTTGCTGTATGCCAAGGACTGTACATACTTTATATCAGTGTTGCTTTTTTTTTTTTTTTTTTTTTTCCGACGGTGTTTGGGATTGTTACCCAGGGCATTGTGCATGCTTAGGAAAGTGCTCTACCATGGAGCCACACTCAGCCCTGTGTGTCTTAATTTTGAAAATGGATGTAAATACTGTGATTACCCGAATCAAGCACATGAGAAAACTGGGGTACCAAGATTTATTGATTGATTGTACTGGAGATTGAAACTAAGAGCACTTTATCACTAACCTTATATCCCTAGACCTGTTTTTTTTTTTTTTTTTTTTTTTTTTTTTTTTTTTTTCAGGGGCTTAGAAACAGGGGCTTGCTAACTTGCTTAGGGCCTCACTAAGCTTCTGGGGTCGACCTCTGGGCACCAAAATTTTAAGCAACTTAAATCACAGGC